CCTTAAGCGAGCAAAGGTTACCAAGTACTTAATATTATAGTAATTGGAATTGATAATTTTTAAAAAGAAGCAAGCATATTAAATGAAAAACAAGACAATGAATGCCCCGAATAACTAACTTGGAACCCAATATAGCCAGCCAGATAATTAAAAGAATCATATTTGATGAAATAAGGCAACCTTGATTAAAAACAGCAAAAAATAAAAAATTGCATATTGCCTTACCGGACAAAGAGACATTGCCTGACAGTCCGGATGGACCATTTTTATTATACTGTTGCCGTTTAAATTCAAATGATGAGGAATGTGAGGTTTCGGAATGCGGCGCCGTTACGTCAATTCCATTGATTTCAGTAAAATTACTGAAGCCGATTAGACTATCTTCCTCCTTCGAGCTGGCAGCTTGGGTAGAGGAGAAAATAGGGGTTATATGGTCCTGTCGGCTGACACTGTTGCTGTAGTCGTAATCGTTTGTGTCACTACTCACAGTGCTGATATTTATATTTATACCTTTACTACTGTTGATGCCTTCGCAATTAGTAGAGCCCCAAATCGGATCAATGGTGGATAGAACCAACTGTGGTCGGACATTGGAGGTGGGAGCGTTAAAGTGTTTAGATTTTAGTTTATAATCCCTTTTTTTTCCACTTTTGCGAACTGCTGCAATGGAGACAAACGGCGAGTCAGCTAAGGTCAGATGTGAGGCTAGCCAATGCTGGGTGTAACTGAAAAAGAGAAATATATATGGGAGCAAGAGGTAAGTAACCCAACAGAGACATTTTGAGTTGCCTTCTGGGTTGTCTTTATATTATATATATATATATATATAATTAGCTATACTCATACCATTGTGGAAAAACTCAACCATCAGTCCTTCATCACTTTAAACGAAATAGAGTGAAAACAACTTATATATTACAAGTCGAAAACTGTCTATAACAGAATAAATTATAGGTTAGGTTCAAAAATTTGATACATCGCTAGTAAAATAGCAGTAGAAATTTTATGAACATAAAAAAGAAAATGCATCAAATTTACAATTAAGGAGCTGTAAGTGAGTGTGATTGTATCAACAAAGTATGTTATAAAGCGTGTTTCCTTATAAATAGGATACACTATATGTCTATCTTGTTAGGAGCAAGGTTTAGAATAAGTGTAAAAGCTGAAATCCTGATAGTAGGAAAACATATGTGACGCTCCTAATTTGAACCAAATTGAATTGGTGAAGAAAAGAAAAGTGCACGGGCTCAAGGTGTCGATGGCGTAAAATTTAGGCTGTCAACTATTCTGCAATTACAGTCCGCAAAAATAGCTCTCCTATCAAACAAAGTTTAATGGTCTGAAATGTGACCTTTCTGGATACTACAGATACATAGCTCAGACCTTAGAGGGAAGCGATAACTAGGGTTAGTGGATGTTTATCGAAAAAAAGGAGTAAGAAACTCCTGAGTTACAAATGAAACATGGCTAGGGATTATTTGAAAAGGCAAAAGATGCAAAATGCAAGATAAAGATGTGTGAAGATAGCTCTAAAATTTTAATAGAGAAATAGAGTAAAGAGTAAGGGATTAGCAAAGCTTGTAGTTTACCTGAACTCATCGGGTTTATAAAGATTTTCAAGCTTGTCCACAATTGCACAGTCCTTATTTCTCTCTACTTGGCTAGCCTTCTTCACACCAATAACAGCTTTTTGATCGTGTGTTTTATGAAATCCCCAACCTATTGGGTCTCGAAAGTCTGGAGATAACTCATGAGATGAATCTCGATGGAGATTGCCTTGGGCAAGGAATTCAGTGGTGTAGTTGTAATCCTGGTGGCAAGATGTGACTCCAGTGTAGGTGTCCTGATCAATAAGTGGAAAGGATGTATGCAATAACAGCTGGCGGTCTTTTTGCTCTTGCCAGCCCTGTGGAGGATATTCGATCCAAGCGCGATAGTAGCGCACAATTCCCGGGTGATCAAGAGAGGCAAGGGCTGAAACAAGAAAGAAAGGTATGATAGTAGATCAGAGTAAGCAATGTGGAAAAATTACTGAAGGGCCATGAGCTGCCTTAAACTCCAAATTAAATTCCTCAAAGGATGTTCAGTCAAATATTGGAAGGAAGCGTCCCGGGCATTTTTCTTCTA